TAAAAGAAGAGAGGCAACCGAAAACACTTGATAAAAATCTGCTGGGCTGATTGCGCGTAAATGGATAAAAACTACAGCGTTTATTGTACGGCTTCTTCGAACAATTGATGCTCCTCCACCACGACCTATAATAAATAAACCCATCCCAATGCATCTACGGGGGGCGGTCGGCTGGACGTGCTGTTGCAACTACTACCCCCAATTACAACGAGTAGCTCTTCATACTGCGTCTTTTTATACCTAAGTTGAATATCAGCCGATTTTTCAGAGTGTATAAATATCATAGGTAGCAAAATTTGCTTGCTGTGATATACTGTGATTATAGATTCTGAGTAAGCTTGCAATATAGGATGTCATGATGGATGTGCTTCAGGTAAATTTGGCCTTGGTTCATCGTCTTGTGTCAGGCTTTCGTTGGCCAGAGTTATGATGCTGTTAATTTTACAAAATTATTGTTAATTAAACAAAATTAAAATTTACATCTTTCTGAAGCTATTTGTCCTGTATAAGGTCAACAGCACTCCCCAAGGAATTATACTAGATGCCTATAGGACCGAGATATTTTGTGGTAACATTTCTGTACCGTAATTGTACACTATATGTGGATATGAAGACATTTAGCCGATTAGATACATATATATACATGGATGTAATTTTTTCAACTCACATAAATTTTAACTCGAAAAAAGAAGAAGTTATCGGGCCTCGTGAACTGTTTCATGTCGTCTAGCCACATGGCTAACTGTGGCAAGTTCTACCTCTCTCAAAAAGTTCCACCTTTTAGAACTGTGCCTTCTTCGCCCATTTAACAAGAGAAAGGAGATGTTTAAGAGTCGGATGTTGCCTATCGATTTTTAGCTATATCCTCGCGGCGTAGGGTAATAACAAGATTCTTCTAAATTTCGATATTGCTTTTATAGTCAATATCCATAATATTTACATTATGTATGTGTATATATATATATATACATATATATAAAGGATTCTTTAAAGGGTAAGTAATTTAATGGTATAAACATAACATTCATTCTATTGTTTTCTCGACGTATTTGGTACACATTCCTTAAATGGAGCGACATTTTTGCCATTCGGTCCTAGTGTCTTTAAAATACGGCTAACTTTGGGTTAGCCGAACAGCATAAAACGAATAGAAGAAGCGGCAATATGCATTTTTTAAATGTGTTTTTACTTCGTCATGATTCTTCCGCCTTTTCTTTCTACCCCAGAATAAATAACAAAACCGTAACTTAGAGGCCTCCGATATTTACAATACAACTAATCTGCTCTTTATTCCTCAAGGAACGAGCAGTAGTCTTGTGTGTAGGTCACATTGTCGCATGCACGAGCTTTGCAGTAATGTACGAGTTGCTTTATGCTTACCGTTGATCTAACTCTTTGTCGGAGCTTCCCCCAAGGATAAGCCTTGATAGCTATATACTCCTTCCCGCTCCTTAAGCATGACTTTTCATTGTAGCGTTGTACTTACGACCATTATGATAAGGGCGGAGATGGCTCAGAATGCCCTGCTTGTCCACAAAGCGAGCATCTTGCCTTAAGTAGTGAGCTGTTGTTTCTCTTCGATTCCATAGCTTTTGTCCAGACCGGAGCCGCATGGAGAATGACAGGATCTGGCACCAAGGCAAGCAGCTTCCTCCTTCTTTTACGTGGTTCCCACATCAGTCTGCTGAGTCCCTCCGGACTAAGGCCGTTTCCTTCACCGTTTACTCCGCGTGTAGAATTCAAATTATGTCCTGGCCAGGCCTCAGTTTTAAAGCCTCAACCAGTGCACATTACGGATAAAGGGTATATTCGGGAAAGTTTGGCTGGTGGGGCTCTATTCTAAAAACTTGCAATGGAGTTCTTCTGCCGCATGGCCTGTACCTTCATTGCAAATCACTTCCACCAGCAGCTAAGCTCCTAAATGGGAAATATCTTTAGTTCTTGATCGGTAACAATCAAATCCAGTGTCGTAAAGCTGTCGATGCGTGCGCCGTCCATTAGGAGATTTCCCCCTTTAAGGACAAATGCATTATAGTGCATGGCATCATCTATTTTACGGATAATTGCTTTTTCAGCATCCATGAAACGCTCCAGCGTTTATGAACAAACTCAAATCAAATCTCTGAAGTTTCTCTTTGCGCGAACTTGTTTGCGGAAATATCCGAAAGCAACTTTCACACATACTCCGCCTGAATCTTTGTGAGTGTCAAATTTGTCGCGGCTTCGAGTTTTTTCAATGCAACGTCTTACGCTTAAGATTGGCCCTTAGGCAGGCACCCTTTCAATTTAAGAAGGACACCAGCTTAGAGCTACTATACGTGAAAATAACGGCTTATTACTATTCTTTGCGTGGACTGGAGCTCAGTAAATGAGAAATCTTGCCTTCGAACCCTTTTATGTAGCTGGCCCTTACGGAAAATGTTTTCAGCGATCCAATATTAAAGCTGAGAAAGCGAACTGGATAAATACGGTTTTTTTTTTTTTCTTTTTGTATTCTTAAATGGAATCTGAATGGATATCGACTGACAGCACAGAGACTCCTTTACAGAGCATGTCTTAGACTTTCTAGTGAAACCAGCAGCTGTTATCCCAATTATACGTGTGTCTAAAGTATGTGGGTCAATAGAAAAGATCGAAACGTCATCTCAGTGTCTTTAGTTGTAGAATGGGTACCAGCGTCCCGCGGTTCCATTGAAAAGAGTGATCCTGAATCGACTGGTTAAATTGCATTACCTATATGCCCTTCCGAGCATAAACAAGATACGAAAGGCTTTGTTTTATCCCTATTTGTTGGTAGCAAACAGGTGTAACAGAAATAATAGCTATTGCATAATTCTACCAATACGCTAGCCATGCGGGAAGGATACATCTGAATATTGCGCGCTACAGTTCTATGTCTTCTTACTACATATGTAGGCGTAAATGATGTGGAACATAATCGTTTCATAAAAAAAAAAAAAAAAAAAAAACAACTTACTGATATTGTCTAAAGTTCACGTGAAACCGTTAATATAGAGGCTCCAATTTGGATAATTGTTTGTTTCCACAATGCATACACAATACATAAACAATACGCTCTTCTCAACAAAAAGGCAACAAAGTTTATTCATAAAATAGTGTACGTCGCGTATACTTTTCACCAGCCTTATCCTATATGATATTAATATCGTTTTCAGTATATTCCATGAAAGCTGCGTCTGAAGTTCCCTCCAGAGAATTTCAATCTACCCTTAAAAATATTACAGGATGTGCTGAATCGTAAAATATGACCGATCAACAAGTTACCGCGCTCGTCTTGCGTAGCTATTGCTGAGCCTTTTTTGTGAAATTTTAATGTATCGTACATCAAATTAGATTACTCTTTCTTACTCTTAGAAGACCGGTGGCGGACTAGGCTAATGACAGCATGATGAGGATTTAGTCTCTAGAGTACAAGAAAATTGACGCAACGAGCTGGAACATCTGCTAGAAGACTCTAGAGTGACTTAGTGCGAAAAAACTCCCATTACTGAACTTGATTGTACCCATCTCCCGTGTGCTTTCTGTGTGCAATATAGTTTATCTAACACTTTTAGGTATACGTTCTCGTACAACCTATGTAAACCATAAAATCCTACAACTTTAAGTTTAACCTGTGCATTGACCGGTCATAATTATAGTAAGTGTTATGAGCTCCCGCGTGTGCAAAAAAACATCGATATCCCTCAGACTCCTCAGCTGTCGAGTCGAGATTCGAAACCGAGCAGACCGAACTGTTTGCTAACGAAGTTGACGACAAATTCCGATATATGGCCATTGCATTCACCGCTAGCGTCCCTTACCACAAACACGACTCGTCTAAGTCTTCTACCACAATCTATGAGAAGTTCTAATGCAGACTATACAGTGTTTGCGTGTATAGACAGACACACGTAATAGATGCACAGCAGCCAATAACAAAGCTGTTTGAAACTGCGACAAAACTTTCTGACCTTGGCCGAATCTGAGCGCTCGCACAAAGGAAAAACTCAAGAGTCAAGTGTGTGCTTTTAAATATGATAAGTTCACCGATTGTTGGAACAAGTAGAGTTGCGCTTGTGAGGCAGTAAGTTTAAAGGCAATTAAATCGGATATGGGAAAAAAAAAGCGCGCTAATAATAACTTTGACGCAAAAATATACATGGGCCAGTATCATTGCTGAGTGTGTTTACTATTGCATGGTGACGTTATCGCATTCCAATTATTTTTTATCAAACTTAAATGCTCAAAGTTTTCGTTCATATGACTTAAATATTTTTTTTTTTTTTGTTATCTTCTCGTAATACTTATCTCGACATAAATATATTGCTATTCGTAGCATCTAAGACGAGCTATCCCAGACTCTTGTTGCTCATCTGCTTCGCATTCAGGCACGTTCAAAGAAACTGCAATTTCCAAGTGTTTGTACATCGATCGTGTACCATTGAGTACACGACAGTTAATAATATTAAGTTATTTTATTCGAAATGAATATATGAATATGGAAGCGAATGGTTTGGAACTGCAGTTTTTCCGTAATCTGGCCAACCAAAATATACTCGAATTAGTCGAGATTAAATAGAGAAGCCTAAAGTTCCAATATGGTAAGTTTTTCGTATTAGTAAACAGAGAACTGGCTGCAGTGTGCAGCTACCTGAATAAGTGGCGACTACAGGCGCATGTTTTTCGGCTAAACAAACACAGCATTTTTTTCATGTAGACTAGTTTAATGTCCGTGTGCTGGAACGTTAAACCGTAATTTTGACTGGTACAAAAATTTGAATACCCATACATAACTATATCGATCTGGGAACTCAGGAAAATTCGTGTAACAATGGAGCCTTGGTACAAGATGTGCCGGGTACCACTCTGATGTATAATAAGTTGAATTGAATTATAGTTTATTCGAATTTTAGTGGGAACAACCTTTTCGGAAATAGGTACGCAGTTACTATTAGTCGTTGTATAAACAGAAGCAAAAATACATCTATAATTCTTTAAACACTTTTTATTTATTCCACAGTGTAGTACCAAAATTTCTCTTCTCGCCACGATTATAATAGTATATATATATATATATATATATATATATATATATAGTGCTTGTATTTTTCCTGTTGTTGACATGTGTATTATGTCTGAATTCGGATGAGATTGATCTTTTTTCATAGCCATCGAGTTTGTATATATTGCACGGTCACCAATCACTGCAGGATGTGTGACTGTTTTACATTGCACAAATATCATCCACCTCTTAGCTATAATTATTCCTAATATATGCGTTATGGCTGGTTGTTTCTCTTCGTCGTTCGTTCGGCAGTGAGATTCGATTTTGAACGATGTACGTTACAGTGTCTCGGAATAAGACCTCACCTGAGACATCATCCTAAGGTAAACCGGGCATCGGTGCACGGAAAACGTGCAATGTCACCGGCAGGTCGGCCGTCTACACACGTCTCCGAAAGGAGTCCATCATCCATCTAGGTAAAACCGACTCGAGGGAGGAGCTAATATATGTTATGTATCTCTACTCATTGCGGTTAGGTCATTATACTGCCTTCATAGAGACCATAACTGCATTCAATGAGGTGTTTTGAGAAACTTAATTTTTAAAGCTCAATTATCATATAATTTCTTGACAGATGCCCAAATAGACTCACACCAACGTTTATATCGACGGTCGATGATCAATTAGAGTATGGCTCATATATATATATATATATATTGTCTGTATTTTTCCCTGGGTCGGTTCTCTGAGCGTCTCGCCGGCCTTTGAATCTGATCGTAGTCTTCAGTTATCATCGGCCTGCTCACGTTAGCGTTCCTTTATCTAGGTTCTTCTTTGCTACATCAAATATTGCACATATGTGTAACTTATCGGTTCGTCTCGTAATGGCATATATATATATATATATATTTAATGTATATATATGGCTGTTATGTACACATGATCATGTTCACACTGAATACAGGTCGACATACTGTAACGCGTGCGTTCGAGTTCATTGAAAATGATGATCTCAACGATTAAATTTATTCCCGCTGGATAAATGACGTCTATGTAAATTGTGATAATTATGTTTCAATGGCGACGCTAAGGTGCGGTTAAATTTCAACCGCCGACCAAAACGTAAAATGTATTACGTATCTATGTAATCAGTAAATGTCTGTATATGGATGTGTTTGTTGTTTCAGATGAGCCGTGTATGGTAGCTGCGAAATAGATATGTGCTGATCTCGTCATGTCGGAGTAATTAACAAGATCGTCTCAGAATCAACTTAGATATAATAGGGTTAATTTTATGAATGTTATTATCTGCCTGTTATTGTCCTGGCACCAATCATGTACACGGTACCAACTGTAAGCACAAGAGGTAGTAGATCTACGTAGCACCCTATAGTCTCTAGTCAATTAGGGAACTAAAGGCCAAGTAAAAACAGAACGCATTCGAGTTATTTGGTTGAATTTGCAGACAGTTTTTTTTTCTTTCTTTTTGTACATTAGGGGGTCTTTTGCGCATATGAGGTTGTACATTTTATAGGCGTTCTTGTATATTTGTTACCTTTGGAATAGATTACTTCGCCAGATCGTCGTTGAAAGCTTGTTCTGTTTTTTATGAAATTTTGCCCTTAGGCAAATGCATGAATTGGCTTACGATAATAGCTATTCATTAACTGGTGCATGCGAATATTTACAGCCATTGCGTTCTTTCTGTAATATTGAGCGGTATAATTTAAGCTTTTCACTTGGTATCGGAAACGGAGAAGGGACAATACTGTTGAAGTAATTATTCCTGAACCACTGCAATATTCATCGAATCTTATCGGAAAACTAGAATCCTTTAGTATTCGAGAAGTGATCCGCACAGGCAGCGTACCAGCTTATCTAATTAGCAGAAGCTTTCACAAATCCCTGAAGTTATACATACATTGGTATATATATATATATATGCTCACCAGAAATTATAATTTCCTATTTCTACCAGCTAATTATACTTACAAAGTTATTGTCAGTGGAATAAATTTCTAGCCAACGTTCTGCGGTAGGTGTTTAGGCTCCTTCCGACAGCCTTCGTGCGTTGGGTTGGGTTGAAAATGCCTTGAAATCTATGGTCGTTGTGCGGGGCACTCCGCGAGGTTTGGCGTAAAGTGGAGGTCCCATGCGTGGTGTGTGAGGACTCCCCTGTGGACTTGATCTTAACTGAGGGCTTTTCAACAGCTGGGAGCACGCACCTTTGGAGGGACTAGGTAACCCCGAGTGACCCAAGTTGGTTGCAATCGTTGACGGACCTATCAAATGACCTTGATTATGTACCTGTCCTGTAGTAAGACACCTTTGACGGCCCATTCGAGGTGTGCGAGGACTCCGTGGATTACCGAGTCCTACCATAGGACTAACCGGAACATGGCTATGTCCGTTTAAAGGCATCGCCGCGGCAACGTTTGTAGGACACGTCCCTCGTCGTAGTGGTGAACAAAGAGAACTTTGCATCAGACGGGGACTTTGATGAGGAGGTACCCGCGGTGCCTAAGAGAGAAACAAGAAGAGCTTGTGTGAATGCAAAATTTCGAGGCCTAATGTTCACGACCGATATGGTAGAAACATGCACGCTTCGTTCAAATTGGTGTTTTTTAATGATTATTAATAATGTTGTATTCGTACACTACGTATAAATAAACGGAGATAAAACATGTATCGGAGCCTATCATGCAGTGCATACACCCTGTAGCTGTGTCTTATATTAGTTCGCGTCCTTTTGAATATTACTCGAAATTTTATACGATGTGCTAAACGTTAGGTTTAGGTTCAACGCGTTCTGAACAGGGCATATGGTTCGGCCTCTGTCCCTGTAAGTTTCTTAAAGGTTCTGTAAAGTTTCTGTAAGAGCTCTTAAAGGCACATCAGACATGCATGAGTTCCATGTCAAGGTGTATAAGACTAGTCGTTACCGGTTGCTGTCTGGCGATTTGTGGACTCATCTGGAGGGGAGCATTTGAAGTGCTAGCTCTTCTTTGAGATGGTGGGCTATGAGTCAATGCTGGACTGACCCCTCGGACGGCCGCTCCCCCCAGACCACCAGCCTCTCCGCGTGACGGACGAGGGCTCCCCATCTGACACGGACCCCTGCTCAGATTCAATTCTGACCCGATGTTTTCCAATGTACGCATCAAAAGGAACTGCTTAAACTGTAGCAATTCACGATGTAGCAATAATTTTTCCTGTAAGAAAGGTTATCCAACAGCAATCTGATGGTTATTTTTTAGTTGTTGAATCAGCTAAGACGTTTAAGCCAACAATATCCAATGCGAACGGTACTAGTAATCAAATGATTAGTATATAATTTGTTTCACTAAACATAGAAGGCTTGCAAAGCCTCTCGATACGGGTACGCCTACAGATCGCCAATTAGCTAACTACTGACGGAGCTATTTATCAAAATAGACTAATATCACACAAAGAATTATCATGACGTACATTTTTGTACAAATTCCCAGGACGGGTATCAAATAAATATAAACCAAGTACTAGTAACCTAATCTATCTCTCGGGGGCTTACGTGTTTCTGTTTCATCACTTCTTCAAATGGTGGCCTAAACACCACTGATAATAATACATATACATACATACGTGAATCTATGTCAACAGTAAATATAATAAACACGAATTATATAAAGTCTTCTAGAAATTAACTAAATTATACTCTGTGTACAAAACGAAAAATACCGTTCGTATAAAATCGTAGAAAATCTTCTTAATTAGGTTCGTAGATTGCATTATCTGTTTCGGATATTGTATAAATGGAACACGGTCTGTAGCGTGAGTGAGCTGGTGAGCAAATAATATCGCTCACCTGTCTACTGATATGCTCCTCCGAACGAACATCGCGAATCTTAGCGCACAGGGCCTCCCGTTCATTACGTAGACGCTGCATTTTCTTAGCTAAAGAAAGCGAGCAGACGTCAACGCGATCAGGACCGAGGATGTTTCCTGCGCCCGATAGCCCACGCAGAGGGCTTCCACAAGCCTGTTTCACAGAAAAAAATAAATAGGTACAGCACACTTTGATTTGGCTACTCTGGCTCAGTCTGAGTCGGTTCCATATGGGACAATTGACACACAATCTTACATATACATACATACTATACCAAAATAGGCACTATAACAAAAAAGTAGAAAAATGTCCTTCGACACTTAGCTAGGATTCACATTTGTTGCTCTTAAGTGTTTTAAGATAATGCTATATGATAAAGTTTTTGCATTTGACATCTTAGGATTCTCATATCATAAAGCATTTATTTAGTATCCTGTTTGATAAAGCTAAGACTTTGTTCCTTTAGCAATGAAGAAAAAAAGAACCACTGGACAAATATTTTACTGTTTGTTTCTAGAGCTCGCACCTGATGCTGTTGAGAGGTTCCCCTTCGGCCTCTGACTGGTGTATGCGTCTGACTTTTTTCACGAGCAGATCGTAGTTGTCCTTTAGCCACAGATTGGCTCCCCTGAGCCTGTGTAGAATGACTTGAATTGGATTCTTCATCCAAAGATACCGGTGTCGTAAGCTGCGATTCAAACCCTGATTCGCCCTAAAAACAAACACAACGGTTAAGTAATAACAGAACTACTTGATACACGCATTATTGGAGGTCGCTCGCCGATAGGTTTTCAAATAGTTGGCTCCCTGTTGTTAATTCGAAACCATGAACTGTGATTAGAGTTATTATTTATAGCATCATGACACGGGTAAAATAAAAGGTAATAAATAAAGGTTTGTAGCCACATATTTTATGTTTACGTTTCAGAGTACTAACAGTTGCTGCCGGAATCATTTTGGGTCATCGGCCAAACAATATCACACCACCATGACCGTGTCACTTTTCATTCATCGGTTTTCGTACTGGTACGTATCGTTAAAGTGTGTGTGGCATCTACGTACCGAGAATACAGCCCACTAGATCCTTGAAGTTATAAAATAAATACTGGAAGCTTGCCGTTTTGTTAACATTGTTTTCTATGTAGACAGCATTTAAACCTCAGAACAGCTATACGCAAGAAAGCTTTTTTTTAGACACAGAAGTCATGATCAGCCCTTCAGTCTTCAGTAACGTGCACTCGCAATTTACCCTCCACTTTTTACCTACCTATTCTATCCATCGTATATGTAAAAACTACTGGTTTTTGCTCCTAACATGGTTTAATAGCTAGGACATGTCCCTTCCACTCCGTAAAGGACAAGTTTCTCTTAGCAGATTTAATGGGAGTAGTTTCGTATTTCTACTGCAACTTAACTTGGCGTTTCAACATATTCAGTATATTTTACCAAATAAAAATAGCAAACTTACGAAGAAAATCCTTACGACAAAAAAAACAGGCCCTGCTAACAGACAGAAAACCCAAACAGCACTAGCCTCCTTCAAACATCTATGATGTCAGGTAACTGAATATCCGGGGGCTATTGAAGTATCACATAAGACAGCAAAAGGCTTCTAAACCTCTAATATATAAATAAAAAAGGAATTTATAATAACATAAATGCTTCAAAGTACGCCAAAATGCAATCTTTCAAATTAAAATCTACAATAAGTGGTAAAGGCGAAAATTCACAAGGGTAGAGTACCGTACGGCGAGGCGTAACCCTGGTACGCATTGGGCATCCATCCATTAGAAGGTGACCACCGACGCGATGATGACTCAAATTCAATTTGTTCGAACAGACGGGATCGATACCTACGATAGAGCGAAGACTAATGATACCTGACTGAACTGGCTAAGAAGGGATGCATCTTCACGTAACATTCTTCGCACGGTGATGACATCACTTCCGCCGCTCTCCGTTTGGTAGCCGTCCGAGTAGGCCTCATCCTAAACACGAACGTGAATGATACAGCAGCATGGTCATTGACTTGGCTCAGAAACACGAATTTTTCAGGCTCAGTTTTAGCCTAATTGAAGTTTTTGTTGTACCCATTGTAGTTTACACTGCATAAGTAAATATAAAGTATTGTGAAATGGTCCGTAAGGCAGCCATAATAAGGGGTCATATTCGAAGTTTTGCGATTAATACCATATAATAGAGTTGGAGAATTGGAAGAATGCCAGTTATTATTTGTGCTGCAGTATCTTATATTACAGACGAACATAGCACGTAGGGAACATAAATCGCCATTATATTTAATCGATGAAAGTTACCCATAAGTAATTTTTCAGTTAAGCAATGTTTACCCAATAAGAATTCTACATCATCTGTTCCAAAACGAATTTTGAGTGTGTTGTATAATAACACGTTTGTCTCCTTATCGGCTATTTCCTGAGTTAGCACCGCCTACCTATGTCTATGCCTACTTTACCCTATTCGGGTCAAAAAAAAATCTGCGGGACATCAGCTAGTGAAGACGACAGGAAGTTCAGCATCTGATCCCAAGCAAGGGATCATCTTATTGCAGTATATATTTATACAAGGACCTAGTCGAGTTCTATCAGTGAACACATTAGTGAGATGCATTACAGGAAACCTCCAGTACTTTCGTCAGGGCATTGTTCGTCTGCTATCATCGCTCGAGTAGCAAAGAAAGGAAAGGCTGTAAAAAATTTAAGAAGCTCTCCCCATCCACAAACTGGATCCGAAAGGGTCCCGGAGAATCGAAAGACATGTGCACGCTGACGACATGTAGAAAAAAAACTGAGACCGTCTGCTCCATAGCAGTGACAACAATAGCTCCTTTATTAACAAAGCGGACGACATACAACAGAACAGATATATCCAAAACAAATCAATCACAGTCAAAAGCAGCAACAATGAAGAGAAAATATTTGAATATAGTTACTTTCTATAAGCTGCTTAGTTTTAAGATACGCTAATAGATATCTTTGTTTTGGGGACATTGTGTGATATTTCAGTATCGATCACTGAACTAATAAAGAAATGCGAACCTTTACCATCCCCTGTAAAGGGGAACGGGTACTTAGCTTCATTTGTAATTATTCTATATTCATTCACAATAATTCATGCGTTTAATCCTTGGAATCATCAATATGTTTTATTACAAGGATCCCATGGTAAGGCAATTTATATGTGTGTGCAAAAAGTGTATCTGCAAAATGTGTGAATGCCTAAAAACGTATTCAGCACTAATGGCGGCAAGTGTGATTATTTGAGTTACTTGGAAAAATTGCTTACCTCAGATGACGTGAGCTCCGCGGGGTCAAGATTATAGCCGGGGCTGAAATAACTCTTTCTATGTGTACGTGCGCTCTCAGGTCGGCCAGACGCTCGGACGCTCCTCGATCCAACGGATGTCAGACGTGTTCCTGATGGGTACCTGCCACCCACGAAAAAGGCACAGCAGAGCCAAAATTTAAGGTCAAAATGGCTATAAATCAAGAGAGGAAATTTCTGCTACTACGCTCCATGCAGTGTGTAGGATGCAATTAACCTAAAGATAGCGCGGTATCGAAAAACATCGATAAACTACGAAAGGCACATTTGGCGATATGCATACGCGTATCGCAGCGTACCTAAATAGAGCCGGCCTGCAGTCACCGTTCGACGTTCCAGCTAGTCCAAGTAGTTGATCCTCGGTAAGAACGTTCTGATATAGAGCAAAGGCTGTTGCACCTATATGCGATCGGCCGCCAACGAGACCTGAGGTCCCGGAGTTGGAGCACGAAGCTGATGACGCTGAAGAACGTTTGGCTAAAGAAGCCGTCGAGGACCCAGATCCTGCGTAGTACCTGTAAGAAATTCAAATACAGTTAATTAAAAGTACTTCACTGTCTCAAAGGAACTCATCATCTAGTAACACTTACAATATAAGATACGGTATACTGTTAATACAATAGTTCTTATGACATGCGCTTATTACTGGCCTACTACCAGTGTTTCCTAGTAGTCGAGTTATGTTCAAAACCTACCAACGCATTTCAAAGGGATACTATAGCGTATCTTCATTACGTCCTTCTTTGATGGCATGTACGCAGGAGGAATGGTAAGCGAGAAACCGTTATTCTTTACATTGATCGTAATCGAACCTTCAAACGAAGGTCTACTCCACTTCCCTTCTATAACTTTGATATTTAACATCATCGGTTTTCAGTTAGTGTTCCAGGCTTGATAGCAGCGCACAGAAAAAGTTTGCCGCTGACCCTGGCAGTCTGTGACAGCACATTGTACACCTCCATCCTAATCTAAAAAAGGAATTTCTTCAGAGATCTTCTCAGCTACTGTGGGAAATATAGTTACGCGGTGTGCAATGTGTGTAGAACAAAAAAGAACGGCTGAAATTCACCTGATTACATACGGATACAGCCAGTCTCAGCACATAACAAATCACAGGTCTGTGCTTAAACTAGGAAGATTAATATTTTAGTATATAATAAGTGAACGGTGATTTGCCAAATATTGTTCTGTTGGCTTTTAGGCTACCAATGTAACAGTTGCGCCAGATCAGTAAACAGAGAGAAAAGCGTGTACTTTTCACTGACCGTAAGTTCTTTTCAGGGCTGTCTTTTTTAAAAAAAGAGAATTTTATGTAAAATTATCTGCGATTCACTGGAAAAGCACCCCAACGAGATGAGACAGTATCGAACCTTCAAGCGTTATTCAAGCCTTTTCTTCAGGCTCACTTTGGTGGTGCCGGGTTGGCCTGCCATATGTGAACGGTATTCCTCTGTGAGGACACCAAGCTTCGGAACCCTCGCGTCCAGTGGCCTTGTCTTGCGCTGCCTTGGACAAAAATAGCCGCTTACAAAACGGAAGGAATGCATACGGACTAAAGTTGTACCGTGGCGAGACTTCAAGAGCCCATTGGAGTCGCCTTGGTCTCAACAATGCCAGCGTAGCTTTCGCTGCCTGCATACTTTTTCATTTTGCATGCTTAGCAACAACGTCTTCCTTTACGGTCACTTAATTCAAATTAGTCGCTTGTGAATAGCAACGTGTTGTAAAGCGTGTGGATATTTATTTTATCGATCTTTCTGGGCAAGTTTGGGTAGATTTATCCTTGTCGCTACTTTGTTGCTTTTGATATACTTCGTTTCTCGCAGTGATAGGTCCCTTTCAATCAAGGACAATGACAGGACCGAATGTGTTGTGCAGCTATACTTCATAGGAACAAACTAACTAACCACCGTTCATCGAAAATGCCACAACGCCATAATTGGAATATCATCTGGCGTTCATTCAAAAACAGATCTTCCGAACCTGCAATAATACGAAATAGCTGTACTGAAAATGACAAAAATTATGAGGTGTATGATAAAGATCTAGCCGATTTCTCCTGTATAAAATGTTGAAACAAAAAATGATCGAATTTTTTACATCTAATCGGAAAGCAAATAAACTACCAAGCCATAGGAATAATCCCTTATTATTCTAAATTAATAACAGATACATACACACATCTGATATAGGCATTTAGGCAAAGGCAAAACGTCTTATCTTACTTCGAAATCGAAATATTAGAAAGAATTATACTTTACGTAGATATTAGTGACGAAATCAATCAATGAATCGCTGAACGCCCGTTGAAAATGTAATATCGTATTGTTAAGGACAAAGAAAACGGAGTTTATTCTGACAGATAGATATATTTACCATATATCAAGTTCGATTCACTGTGTTAGTTGGGGCTTATGGTAGATCTAGCTACTTAGGAAGGTTATGGCGCATACACCTAAAGCAAACCTGTAGCAAACCTCGACACAGTTTTTTTCCAAGACTGGCCAGAAAGGGACTAAGGAAGCGTTTCTTCCGCAGTCCAGAAATTGCACCGCCCAGCAGGCTATCCTCACCAGCTTGTAAAAACTACTATCAGACGAGCCGTAGAGGCATCGTCCATTTCCAGAAATATGCTGACATAGCTGGCACAGTTGATCTTGTAGCCTTTTGTCTTCCGCAGGATAAAGACAAGAACGCTTTGGGCTTTTTGTAAAGCAACAGGGCACCTGAACCCGAAAGGAAGATGCAGGAGCTTTGAAGACTATCGGTCCTATCCTATGTGGCGGCCCATTTGTTAGATTTTGACGTGTGTGACTGTTTGGGTAGCTGAGAGCCAAGCGTAGTAGAATACCTGCAAACGCTTATAGAGGACTATGTGATAGATTTGAATCTTTTTGACTTATTCTTAAGAAAAAGTTAGGACCGGTTTCAGACATTTTTATTTTTTTAAAGTTGTGAGCATTTGGCCGAAGAGCTCACGTTGAAAGAGTCAAGCTCCAAAGGTAGCTATAATTTTTTCAAGAGCTTGAGCAGATTCGCTCGAAAACATTTATAATGGTCCCATTCAATATTGAGCTCTGAAAGCACAACAACCCGTTAAAGGAAATAGATGCACACCCAGCTTTTGTGATAGCTCTTGCTTATTGTGATGACTACCATTATTGAGATACAGCGCCTGGGTACCTTACCAAACAAAGTCATTTTATCTAATTTTTTGGTATGGTTGGAACCAGATTTCTACGCTTTTATTTACAGTATTAAATCGTGAAGTTCATTTTTGAGTTCTATATTGTTGAAGCTGACGCACCAAAGCGATTCACTATTAAAAAAAACTGTTTTTCCTTAGAAATTGAGAACAATACGCTGTCAAGCACGAGTTATAGCAAGTGGGTCACGTCATTAAACTATAATTTGTTTTTTTCAAGAACTTTCTCATTCCATACACACGATATAAGCAACTACAGCGATTTGGTCTCCTCTCGGCTGTGGCTGGTGCTAGTGAACAAAGAACAGCGAAACCTACCAATTTTTTGTGGCAGCAGCAGTACGGGAACCGGGAAGAAGGCTAACCTCTAGGACGTTTGACATCTTAAAAAGGAAACAGCCTGGACCGGAAAGAAGTAGGGCCTTCTCCTGAGATGAATTCCTGCGACAGTTTTGCTCCACACTATTGCTCCAACTGCCTGAGCCGCCAGTCAACTTAAAACGATCTCACGAAAAAGTCTTTACACCGACATCCCCAGGATATGAAGACTTTCAATTAGTTTAATACACAACGACGAATCTTCTAACTGAGTGAAGAGTCTTTTCATACCCTATGTTTCCTCGATAACCTAAAGGTAAGTGCGACTTGTGAGCATCAGTGTCTTCACAGTAGCAAAACGTTTATTCAAAATGAGCTGCGATGTCAGCACATGAATATTGGATAGGCAACTTAACCTTCACTTCATTTAGTTAAGTTCACATCGAGTGTTACTAGGGAAAAGCTCGCTAATAAAAACAAGTTTGTTAGTTATGCTCAAGATAGAATTAAACTGGTTGCATAAATTGAATGACAAATAGAACCACTATAATTTTAGGAATATTGTTTTTGTTACCCAGAAAAACATTAGAAGTATTCAGAGCTTTCCATAACACTTTTCGATGACTCAAAATATTTATTTACATATAACGTAGAAAGTATTTAGCTAGCTAATGGAAGCATTTTAATAAACTCCCTGTAGACAAGGTCTAGATGTAGACAATAAGCAGTCTTGAGAACAAAGAGTTCAGAACAAAGCTTTTCCTGCGACCTGCTGAGGGTTCCAGCCACTCTGATTTTAGGTTAAGCGCTCCTTCCTCAAATAGGCCAGTTGTTTTCTCTGGGACAGTACCGCATTATGAAATATACTATTTATAAATGACGCCGATACGTTGATATAGGTTTCCGTATTTTTAACTCTGTAATCTATATTGGCAGCTTCTCCGTATTCTAACTGTAAGTCCTATGTTCGGTTACTATGTTTCGATATTTTTACACATTAAGGCCGATTATATTCCTACTTCTTAAAATCAAACTTCATTTTCGATCAAGGGTTACTGTTTAGACGATCTCGACGGTATTGAGTGGTACGTATAAGCGTGCATAGGTATCAGCTTAAGTATCATTTAAATAGGTAGAATCTTAATAAATCCTACCAATCATGAGCTACGGTATCAGGGGATCCGATGTGCGTAGTAATTTGTACATGTCCTCCTGCATGATCCTTGGATACGCCAAGAGCACTGCTCTGTCCGCTGCGGGCTGATGCTCCTGAACGATCGCTTGAGGTCGCCGTCCACGCACCAGAATCTGCCGACGCCGAAGAAGAGCAGCAGGGACTGCGGATGGGGGAGCCAAGTGAAGTCAATAACCAAGGGTTGGTCTTGATACGGCTTCGTTCACGTGCAGCCTGAACCTCCTAAAGATAACACAAAAATGGAGCTCAGTGTTATTTCAATCCATATCTATTTACATTTTATGTTACTTCTATACATTAGTTTTCTGATTCGAAATACTATGGATGAGTCTCTACTGAAACAGCTTACTTTTCACACTGGAGTTTTGTTTTACACAAACTTTAAAACAAACTTCAATCGTTTCACGAACCAACTTCGACTCTGTACGCATTATATCGAAATGAAGTAGTCGAACCCTTGCAACCGAAAAGGGAGTCAACTGGAAAAATTCGAAAATTTCTTTACTTCATCTTTATTTACAGGTTAGTTCTGTGGTCGTACAGCGGCACAAGTGCGATAGGTCGCTAATGATGTTTTGCGCATACCTGCCCTTCCGTAATAGACTTCCATCATGTGTGGTTACCATTATTGCCGTGGGCAATTCGTGTTCTTATTTGGGCTAATCGGCTAATGGGTTCAACCGATCAGAATATTTTGTAGCGGAAAACTTCTTGTCGACAAAACGGAACTTAAATACTGCGTGAAAGCAAAACGTTTTAGGGCGTCAACCCTCACATAGTTAATGTTTTCTGTTAATAGAAAGGTTCAATGCGGCAATATCTCTCGTTTTCTTACTGGAATTAATGTTAAATGCTTTACCGTATTTTCATTTACGAGAAAATTGCTCTGACCTAATAAATTGTAAGGCATTTCCACATAACCTCGTCAAATCAAAGGGAATATGGTTTCGCTTACTTAAACAAATAAACTTTTACAGCTCTAGTAGTAACGTACGACATTTTCATTTGCGTGCGTTCTTGCCCTCCTTCTCAAAAAGTCATCGAAGAGTTTGAAGTAGTACGAACCTTCACGTCAGTCCCCATCGGTCTACTTAATCGAATCTTCAGTCAACAAGCTTCAATTGAAACAGTTGAGCCGAGAAACGTACACAAGCCCACAGGCGATTTCGATAGAAATCATACAGGACTTTTGTTCTGAATCGACGAATGTGTCGTGAAGTTCTGCATTTTTTTTTCCTCTTACGCATCATCATCAACCGCCAAGCGCTCGAACACGACGAAGCTGCCAGCGCACAGGAAAGGGGAGTCCACAGCTACATATTATACATGCGCCCCCTATATTGGTCCTACAAAAGCGGCGGTGAAAGGTAAATCGCTTCGGATCAACTTGACTTTGATCTGTAGCGCTTTATTTGGCCAGCCCGAAGCCCAATACACCTGACGGTACTGTTAGCAGACTATCTGTAAGTTTTGTCCTGCACCCTGATGGGCTTCTAACGCCGATAAACAGTAAAGGTAGACAGCCAAAACGCGTAGCACAGTAGGGAGGCCTGAAGCCACTAGCATGGACGTTTGCGGCTCCTATGCTGAGCGCTTTTGTTACAGTCGAAATAGTCCAGCAGGAGCGGATGAAGCGAAAATGAAAGACGAAATGCTGGTGATCCAATTGGTAAAATTTGCCAATCTAATTTCGTTCATTCGACCGCCACCATCGCCCAACCTGGGCGTCACCCAACTAGCCAATGAATGTTAGGCAGCACAGATCTAAAGTAGTCACTCGTTTGCTACTGCTGCATAGCTAGTTTAACGAGCTAAGGTGAAGTATCGCAAAAGAAGAGGAACGACCGAAAGCCTGCCGTAAGACCCAGAAGCAAGGTGCGGCGCGTATGGGTGACCCGAAGTAACAGATGAAGCCCAACACTGGCTTTGCAGTGCCAGCGGCATCGTTGTTTTAACTACAACCCATAAAGGTACTAGTTGATAGACCTGAAAAATACTAGTGGGTCACCAAGAAGGATGAAGCCATGGTAGCTAGTGTTTGTTGGAGCTATAGTGCATTGCAGAACCACTCCACAGAAAGGATGCGGTGCGTGACCGAAAAGGTCTAACGCAAGAGAACTAGTGGCCATCCAACTCTGACTGAGGGGACTAATCCCTAATCAATTAACAACGTTTCACGGGTTTGTTGATGAACGCAATGAAATCAAAAAAACATACTAGGAAACGAGCTATGCGAAAGTGTAGAAAATTAGGCCAAGCTCCGGTAAACTGTATTAATCAATGCGTCGACCTTAACCATCCTCTTTAGCTATATCACACCAGCCCCACCTACATGCATAGTATGCTAATTATATTTGCCTTCAATAACATTTTTATCGAAGGCGATCAGTCGGATGACTTCAGAAAAAACACCGGCAGTGGCAGTCGTCTTTTTAAAAAAGACCTAAATTATTCTGAACGAGTCTTAAGGACTCGAACTAACAGTACATCTAATCTGACTTTTAGTGCATATTTAGTACGCTTACAATTTTCTTTATTCGCACAGGTTATACAGGGCGTGTCCTACCCTAGTGTGTGCCTATACGGTTATAGCAAAAGATGTGATCGGTTTAAATATGTATTTTTAGTTAGAGAAGTTCATCATTATTTAGGGTCTACTCACGGTGCTGCTCGACGAAGCTGCCGTAGAGTGTATATCTGCCCCTGTTATTATTTGCTGTTGCTGCTGTTGCTGCTGCTTCTGTCCTATATGCCGAATATGTTGAAGGGGTATACGATTGGCAATAGAGGGGGGAGCTGGAGGAGGTGGGGTGTCAGGTATTTCGGCATAGACACTTGCGCTGCCAGCTAATGAGTCCGAGTCAAGAACCTTCGAATGATTCGGCGGTAATTCGAATTTTTTGTCGAGATCTGTCGACTGGTGCAATCGCCGATGAAACGATTCCAGCCCTTGATCAACATATGGCAGGGAATCTCCATAATGCTCGCCTGCGTTAAGAATCTCTGAAGAGCCTCCAACGCTTGAGCCCTGTCGATAGTAGTTAGAAGCGGAGTGAAGCTCGTTAGCTATTTACAAATAACTATTTCGAGTTGTGTTGGTAGTGCTGTGGTTAAGCATTGCTTCGAATGGCTGACTCGCAGCTGAAGGCGAACTATGTCAACACCCGTTTCGAACCTGAATCGATTCATATGACTCGAAGTTAGGCAGGCAAGTACTCTGCTGCCATCGCGCCATTATGAGCGACCAACTGGCTCTCCCTAACACTGTGTTTGGTTCAACGCGCATTAAAAGATTAACAGCTCTAGGGTGACTTGAGATAACCGCGTAATGGCCATAGGACATGTATCGGTTACGAGCCAGCTGTTCAAAGTTACTTAAAGTAGCGATAATAGTTCGTAATATTTTTAGACAATCGTTTTTTTTTTTTGTTAAAAAGCAACAGGTACCTCAAAATGTATATTCGAAAAGTGAATAGGCCTTCAGTAACCAGATGAATGCGTTTGTTTTACCGTCATTTAAACAAATTCCACCTTCATAGTTTAGGATAAAAACACATTGTTTATATGAGTAGAAAAGATACAGATAGCAGAACTTACTTTGCAACACAATGATTCTGGAGTTTTGTTAAATAATTGTCGTCCTGTCTCAGCGCCTGTTCCTGACGGATTATACAGTGGACCAAGCAATGAGTCCACAGTCGATGACGTCTGCTCTCGTATGGTATTTGCAAGGTCACACTCCTGCAAAATAGGAGCAATAAAATGAGACATAACCTTTATTGAATCTATATTCATCCCTGCTTCTACCTGACTGTTCCAAAAGGAGATAGATTATCACTGGAAAAGTAATGGTAACTATCATGTTCTCGTCAATCTCAACATAATTTTATAAAAAAAAATTAATGTTATGTCGTCTACTGTTTTTTTTAAACTAGACTAAAGTGAACAAATCTGACGCCATGAGGAACCTTTGTTGTGAAGTCATAAATATGTAGGACTGACATTAACCATCATTTAGCTCATATGGGAAAGGGAAAATTATCTTCAGCAAAACCAAAAGTTAAAATGATTCAATTGCAGTTATATTTCTTGTCAAGCGATAAGGTACTGTCTAATTAGTTTTCATGAAAATACGCTAATTTTATATATGTATATATATTCACTATCAGGTACGACCTATATTAGGAAGAGCCTACTTTCCTCCTACTTAACATCTATCTGCTGGTTATCTTCAGGTCGCGTGCTGTTTTTGCATAATATATTTATCGACGGCTGCATACGATAATACTTTCGACCCACATAATATCGCCTATGCTACTAAACCTTTGTTACATGGGAAGCCAAGTTAATTGTACAAAGCATACAATAGTTTGTACAATACAATAAGCTGTCGAATAGATTGTCATAAAATACTCCCATACTGACCTGCAATTTCAGAATCGAGCCTGATTCTACGCTAGCACTACGAGGCCCCTTTTGCTTGCTCCCCCTGGAGCCCCGTTGGCTGTTTTGGTTATCCTTATCTTTCTTGCGACCCACACGGATGTGTTGTTCGACCCAGCGCATCAGCTTCATAGTGATCAGTTTGATGCGGGCATTTGCCTAAGAATTATCCGTTTGCCCGTTATTTGTCTGCAATAAATATTTCAAGTCAAACATTTATGTCAGAGATCTATATTATGCTGCTACATCAATCGTTTTGCAGACACAAAGCTCAAATTATTCGAGACATAAAGTAAACTATACCTACTCTACTGTACTATAATGTAAACTAGCGTTTTTCAGAGTCTTGCATACATCCATGCGGGGCAGGCATTTCGTATGCTGGCACCAGGTTTGCAAGAACACACTATAAAAGCTAATCAATGTGTTAGTTGTCTCATCTGCTTTCGTTAATTAAAAAGAAAGAAAAAGGAATGTAAATAAAAGACACACGCGGATTAAACGACTAACTCGCTGGACACTTTTTCATCCACTTACAAAATAAACTACTGTTTACTGTTGGGGGGGGGGGGGGGTATCAGTATCTGAGGTTCCTTTATCAAGTTCTACACTCGAATCTCCGCCTGCTTTCCCACTGGAAATTCTAGTCTCTTAGTATGCGGATAACGTTACAAAAACTTTTTTTTTATTCTAGTAACAACTGTGCGCCGGAAATAAAACTGCAAAGCCTAACAAGGACATGAGCGTATGCTCCACGTTGGTTCATTGAAGCAAACGACTGAATGCACCTGTTGAATTTAATCGATATAATAAGTTGCCTAACTCTCAATATACGATCATTTAGACCATTTTAAAAAGACTTGATGCTACACAAGTGTACGTTATTCTTTTAATGGTTTGCTTCAATGTACCAAGTAGTAATCTTTCTTGCCAGGCGAGACCCGTTCAACATGTACAACTATATTGAGGACCCGAATCTCCTCGCAAACGGAACTCCCCGGCGCCCACCGCCAATTTTCCTGGCACCGCTAAACAACGAACGTATATATATATATATGTATACGTCCGCCAGGCGGTATCCGCGGACAAAGGCAAACTAGGGGAAATGGCATTCAAATTTTACCGTCATCGTCTACGACCCTTGTTAGCGGTAAATGCTCAGCATTCAAATGAGTCGTGAAAAAGGACGCGTTAATTTATAAGCATGGCTTCATTCAGCCGTAGCCTAGCACTCGATGTTTTCCGTGCAATGGGAAAGAGTCTTCGCCGCCAGCGCACGGCTGACTTGAGCTTGGCCCGACGCTAGCGTTAAGCTTGAGAGGGCTTCAACACATTCTTTAAGGTTTGAATCTCAACAAACGAAGAACCCGTGACAAGGCGACAATTTGACTCGATTCCTTTTCATAGAAGCAGTGTCGACTGATTACTTAGGTTAAGTCGTATACAGGTAGGACACTTCAATAGCTAAAGGGTTTAATCGCCTAAAACTTCATTACCTAGCTTCGTATAGTGGGTTAATCTCGGATGAAGATACCCGATTGTTGTAGACCGGTTTTGTGGCTGTAAAATCCATTGTTTCTATCTACCCAAAGAGTTTTTCTATTAGCCAAAGCAGATGGAGTTGCTCGTCTCCATATAAACGCACGGCAGCCATGTTCGTATAGCATCTGCTGGCCTACACAAATTCAGTTTGTTGCCACGGTAACCTTTTTTGTTTTACTGACTTATTAATTGATCGAATAGAGAGCTCAGTTACAGACAAAATCAGTAAGCTTATGATTTGGGATAAAATCTGCCATTTTCGAGATATATATATATATATGTATATACTAAAGGTATGTATACACACTTTGAATAATTATAGTTTCAGTTTTTATATACACATAATTAATAGTGATATTATAAAAAATCTACACAAACTGAATAACTTTTCATTCTGGCGCAGATGATTGAAGTGACTACTATTCCTATCGATAGACTTCTGATACCGATGGCATTAACGAGCCTCTCGTTCGGTGTGCGGTGTATTTTTGCAGCTTTTAAACCATATCAAAATATGCGCTTACATCATGATGATGGTTCCATCCTTCCGCCCGTCCGGCTGATTCGATCGAGTCCTGCTAAATATCTGCTAAAGCTGATTTAAACTCAGACAACTGGGAACAGTCACTCTAATGTCGAACAATGGTGGTAAAGCTATTTTTTCACGTTTGAAATGTTGCGTTACCCTATAACTCCTTATATTTATAAGGAGTTATAGGGTAACGCGGGTACATACTATTTCTGTGTAGCATGTGCATATACAGCTGCTCGGCATAGGTGCATGTATGTAATAGAGTATGTAATTTGAACAAGCTACCCAAGGAACAATGTGTCTGATCACAGATTTTCATATAGCAAATTCCCTTCGGCCCGGATCATTCTTACTCATAACATTTGCCATTGTTTAAGCGTAACTTCTTAATTAGGAGCGTATCAAAACGCGGCGGCCTTTCCACTCGCTGATGCTAAGCTTGCTACTGGATTGTCGTACAGAGCCCTAGAATATTTTGCTAGAACTTGCCAGTTCTGTTTTTTTGCTGGGCACGCTCGTCAATGTTCTAGTTTTCCGAAACGTTACCTAGGAACATCCTTATCAGTTCTACGCGTTTCAAGCCCCTCTTTTATCAGATTGGCTACAGATCGCCTAGGCAGGACTGTCTGTTAAAACCAGTGATATTGTCTTTTTATTTCTGCTACGCTTTCATACCTTCAGTAGCATGTAAAAATAACCGTTGTTCGATCAAATGTTATTCTTGGTCCACTCAGTAGTTCGACTTGATTACAGCGTGACAAGAAAGAAAAAAGCAAACATTCCGAAGCCCGCATGTACAAAAACGCTCTGACAAAATCTACAATCGATCGAGAGATACCATTATTACTGCCTGGGACACAATGGCTGATTCATCTATGAGTGATGATCCTTGGAGCTGTCTTCATTTAAAATCAATACATTATTACAGGCTGATTATTATTACTACCGACTATAAATGGCAAAGTCAATATTGTTACCAATAAAATACCAAACAACACCAAAAAAACAACTCAAATCATGGTTCCTCGTGAATCGTACATCTATCTCAACTACTCCATTGTGATAGTGTATATCGGCGCATAGCTTAAAGTTTTCTTAAATTTTATTCTAGCATTAAAACGGTGAATCGACGGAACCGTTAGCGTCATGGAATCGCTGCCCTTGCCTAGGACTAACCGAATCAAAGGCCGACTTCCTATAAAATTGCTCAGTTGTCCGATTCATTGTACTGTGGCAACGTTCGTGATTAGCTCTTGCGATAATTCTCAACGAAACACGATGCTGAATCTATACTGCTTGCGCAGCCATGTAGGACAAGTAAGAATTTCTTTCAAAGAATCTGGTTGTACCCATCAGTTGACAAATGTTTGTATTTGTCAGTTTTACGGGAGCACAATATGGTCACATGCACGGCTTCGCCGAATCAACTGTGTCAGAAGTGTTTAGTGATGATTCGAACGGCGAGGCCTACTTGAAGAGAGAAAGGGTCTAAAACATTGCCATGCTTTCTTTGATATAAATAGATGTCGCCGTGTGCTAAGGTGGAGGTTGGACAATACGATCTAGCTATTCTGTTATTCTACTCAACGACGAGTTGGACAGATAAGAACGTGACGGCAAATGATTCGAGACGGAAGACGGGACTGTGCGAGCGACAGGTTTGCGTATGACAGATATATCAGTAATGTTAGTTAGAGAGATCGAGCTCAAATATTCCGTTACGGCACGTTACATATAGCGAATCTATATAGCAATACTATATATCACGTATACTTATTTGTAGAGCAAGGCAATTTCAATGTATTGACTTTTATCGAAATACTTGTACACTTATAAGTTCGTATCGTGCGCTAGCTTGACGTTTCGGTCGAACGTCGACAGCCGGTACACGAACGATATGCCATCGCTATTGGCGCGTCGGGCGATTTCCGTATGGGTACTTGTGGCTGAATGGTGTTATGAGTGTTAGTCCATGTTTAAGATTTAGCGCGACGACCGCCACAAACTGGCTCTCTGTCTGCTGTTTATTATCAGTTTTATTTTTCATTGGGTGAACAAGGGAGCGGCGGGCTACTCAACTTTCTTAAGGTCTATGCTTTACGCGCACGAAACTCAAGCGCCGGCAAGAATCGGCTAGCCGACCTCAACGCACATGACACCTTTGATCCTCTACAATGGTTATCTTCTCGGCTATCGTTTTTACCGAAACCTATGGACGACTTCCAGGAAACGTCTGCTGGCACATCGCCAGTAGGGCTATCTTTATAGCCTGACTTCGGCTGGAAGTAATATTTGTGTATTAGCATTTAGCTAGACGCCAGAGTGTTTGTACATAAACAAACATGGTGGACGTCTCGTTACTGTCTTGACCGCGCTTCCACTATACATGGAACGCAAATGACCAGTAAACAAACGTCTCGTTTCTTCTAGGTACGTATGCACCCGTCATGATAATCCTCTGATTACATAATGTTAGGACCGAGGCACCTAAGCAACAATAGGTGTGTTGTCCTCTTTAGTAACCAATGAATTAAGGCTGATAGGAAATTTCCCTTATTTCACCAAGGCAAAGATGTTGCCCTTATATATTCGAATCATAGTATAAACCGTCAGACAACCTTCACTGAAATGGAAATTCGTTCCTCTTCCTTCGTTTATTGGGCTGTAGCAGTATAAATATCCCCGAACTCTTCCAACAAATCCCATCTCAAAAAAACGTTAAGTAACAAATCACTGACCATACAGTGTCATATCTGGCTCTTCGCAGTTAATATTAACTTAGTGAATTCGTATAGTTCCAACCAATTTTCCTGCTTATTAGCTCGCTCTATCAAAGGATATGCGAATCTATATTTTATCATGTGTTGTATATTAAACTTTACGCCTTCCTGATAACGACAAGCAATGTAGCAGTAGCAGTTGTCTTCTTGTGTCATCATATATTATTCTGACAAACGACCGTGGCCTAGTACACAACTTCGGTAAAACAAAGATGGCCATCTGGTCCCAAGTGACGCCGACAAAAAACCAACCGACTATTACTTACGTGAGTCTATTTTTATTACAAACTCTCTACATTTAAGATTCTATTTAAATATAACACTAATCAGGTGGG